TGGTTCTGATGTTTTCTGTACAGAAACGACAAAAAACAAAACAAAACAAACAAAAACAGATTTTGTGGAGTATTTTAAGAGACATCAAAAAGTGCTGCGATGCTACGACTACCGTCATGTCTTGCTCGACAGGAAGACATCGCAGTACCAACCTCGCTCCTAATCCCTTAAAAGCATCGATAATGGCCTGGGAACGATATTGTTTGCTGCACATCATACCCTAGCTTTGAAATTTCCCGTGTAACCTTTCGGTCTCACACTCCACGTTTTTTATTTTGAGCCAACGTTTATTCGACATGTGCTCGCATAAATTGAGGAACACTATAAAAACAAATTCAAACAACATTTTTTTATTTTTTTTTATTTTTACTAATTATCGCTAATAATGACCGATGTGTTATAAGTTTTTGAGTAAAAATGGACAAATATTTTCAAATGCATGAATATCCTAAGTGTTCAATCAAGTGTAAATCTCTTATTTCATCTCTTAATTTTTTTTGAGTTTTTAAACCGTTTTATATAGCAGTATACATCTTCAATTTGAAGCCAAAACGCTACGAAAACGCATTGTTGTGGACGGGTCTTAACTTACCGTCATGAAATCCATTAGTACGATACCTTTTGTTGTTCAAAATACATTACGAAAAACGATATTGCTTGGAAAATGTACTTAAAGACAGAAAGGTAAACATTTCTTTTTTTTGTATCTAATGCAGTCCACGTCTTAACAACCTTGTTATTGTTATTTTCTAGATTTTTCATCTGTTTCCTCGAGTTGGTTTCTTTGTCAATATTATATTTCTATGTAGTTTTTTTAGATAATCGTAGTGAACAATATAGCCATGTTATTCAGCTTCAGGGCTGTGCATGATATCATATAGTTTCAAGGATATTATACCGATATGACTTCAGCGAAATATGTGATATTYACCTACATAACTTACATCATAATAACATATGAATTAGTATTGATGGAAATTTGATAACTGTATGTGATTGACGGACAAAAACCAAGTACCCATGAAAAAGGACTGGTGTTTGCGGAACAATTTTCGCCACAGAATAAGCATCAATCTGTATTTTAGGAACGAAAACAAAAAAATTAAAAGAGCAGAAAAAATGTGTAAAAGGGATAGAAAGAGAAAAAATGCAAAAGGGATGAATTGTAATGATAAAGTTGTATGTAAAAATGAAGAAAATACGAAGCGAACTCTTTAAAAGGTATGGATAGCAGCGCGAATTTCAATTGGTAAAAAACAAAAATGGCAAATAGGAAAAAAACAGACTTAATGTTGAAGGGAAATAGGTAAATCTCTACGTACTAGTGAATTCTTGTGGCTAATAGAAAAATATCAAACATAAACTAATGACAAGTAGAGATTTACGATAGAAAAAACGAGAAAACTTTAGTTGCCATGAACGTGAAATCAAACAGGAACAGATAACATTTTGAGAATACAAATACAGCCAATAAGACAACAACTGATAAAAAATTAAAAATAACTGATAGAAAAAGGGAATCCTCGGAAGATAAGATATTCGTCCATAAAAGAATGAGTTCCGTATGTATTTGAAATGAAAAAAACATCAAAATAACTATGATAACATAATAAGAAAGTATTACATCAGAAATGGGAAAAAYTCACCAAAATAGAATGAAGGATAAAAGGAATTTCTTAAGTGAAAAATTTATAGAAGATCACAAAAGCCAACACACAAGATACAKGAGATAATCACTTTAAAATGATTCACGATAAAATAAAAACAATCCTTCAAAAATTGAAAAATAKACTCTCCAAAACGGCACGATTTATTATAGGAATCTTGAATGAAAATGAAAAAAGACTTCTTCGAAAAAGAACCAATGACAAAAGTAATTTCAAATAAAACATRAACTCCCAAAGTTGGAATAAAAAAACAGAGAGGAATTGTGTTTTTTTTTTGTAAAAAATGAAAAATGAAATGCTCTCCAAAGTGGAAAAAAAATAATGAAAGGAAGTTCAAGTGGAAAATAAATACAAAAACATAACAACCAATATGACAATAATCAGCATAAAATGATTCTTGATAACATCCCTAAGGCGATTAACAGCAGACAGGAATCCTGTACTCCCATGACGTAATACTACATAATTAGCAACGAAGAAAGACTCGGAAGATCCACAATTAAGTATAATGTATTTATTCTTTAAGATAACACCCAACCATACGCTGGTAAAGGTCAAACTGAATGCCGCTTTGCTTTTATGGCAAACTCTGTCGGTCTGACTTTCCTAATGAACGAGGACACTGCAACATAACATGGAAAAGGTACGAATGCAGCTATCGTTGRCTACACATCTAGTGCAAACACGCTTTTTTATGTCATTTTTTCTATTTATCTTTAAGTGCTAGTCTGTTTAAGATCCTGTGCCAAATTAAGGATTCTTGAAGACGTGTTTTCGAAATTAGCTTTAGAAAATAGTATTTTTAGAAAATTGTGAGCAAGCAGYGCAGAAATCTCCTTTGTGACGGCAGCTCTCACGGGRTAAACCGATTAACCTACGTTTTGTTAAATCCATCTTTGCACTCAGAAGTTCTTATACAGCGACAAGTATTCCTGTTGAAAGGAAAAATCATTTTGCTTCTGAAGAAAACATCCTACATAAAGAAAGCCAAAATGGACTCATAATATATTGCTAAAAAATAAGCCTTGAAACCATCATGAAAGATACAAAAAAAATCCTATTTACAAACAATGTACAAACCCCCGCCACGAAAAACAGAAAGAACCTAAGAAATATAAACAGAAGCTACAGCTAATCTTTGGTAACCACATCAAAAAAAAAAAAAAACAAAAAAAAAATGACCTAATTTTCTTCCCTGCTGTTCAAACCCGGTTGTAGTCAATACATATATCTCCAAATTTACCGTTCAAGCAGCTGGGAAGTGCTTATATTTTTCAATTAACGTTGGCAAACAGACGTATAGCGTTCATAGAAAACTAGACAAATCTAGTGGCTGGTTTTCAAGTGGAGTYGAGGATAGCTTTTATCGGTGCASAAGATTGAAACGCTRAACAGGCTTAAGAGATTGATAATTGTAAACTCGAACTTCAAATTGCTATAAGTRTATAGTTCTCTGCGCTGAAGATAGYGTAACGGTGGAAATGCTTAACATYYACAGGAAAATAGGGACATTTCACAGACAAAAACGAACCATAAAATCTAGTATTGACAAAGAAATTTGGATTGTRTAACTAGTATTTTAGTTGAATCATTAAATTAATAGAACGAATTCAGCAGCTCATTTGGAGTTGATAGGAAATTGGAATCATGAAAATTAAGCTCTTTCAAAACCAAAAGATAATCACAATACGTGTCCGTGATTYAAATATAATCGACATTGTTGTTTGACATGCAATCTTCATGTATAACGAAAAAAAGGTAAAATGTTTCGGTAGGAAGGTATGAGCAGGTATGTGTAGGGAGGTATGTTAGGTAAAGGTATGGGTAGGTATGGGTATATATGGATAGGTATGAGTAGGTATGGGTAGGTATATGAGTTGGTATGTAGGTACGTAGTTGGCTTCTCAATGYATCTCCTACAATTTATTATGCCCTCTTTTCGTTATATTTATAAGAATAAAAGGCAAAAATATCCACACAATGACTATGTTTTGTCTCTGCTACCTTCACCGCTGGATATAATAGGTTTAGCACCTGCATAAAAAAATATCAAGGTTTATAAATAATGCATTGAATCCTACTTGGTCGCATTAATAATATGAATCAAGCTGKAGTAATTGTCATTTCGACATAAAATTGTCTCCAGAAAATGAATTATYTATTGATGTATATACTATTTATGTAATGAATTTATATTCTGAATATACCCATCCATCCATTCATTTACTCTCATTCATTCACTCATTCGCATATACACCCATTTCTGTTTCTTTCATATCTTATTTAGATTCATGCGTTTTTCAGGCATATATTCATTCGTTGATACAACCTTTCTTTCATTGATTGTATTATTCTTTTTTTGTAATTAATTCATTAATCTATTCATCCATTCATTCAAACATTCATTTACTTTTTACCTAGTTATAAATTCCCATTCATTTTTACATGCATATCTATCTAATATTCTATTATTTTTCAGGTTTAACTAAAGTCAAGATGCACAACATATCGACAACATTAACTCCTACACCCTTAACGGACTTCAACATAACAAATCCATCATCAACATGTCATCTTCATAAAGATTCCCGACTCGAGAATGTCATTAAGATAGTTTTATACATAGTGGCAATGGTAGTCTCACTGGGAGGAAATACGTTGTTAATTTACGCCGTCAAGCAACGGAAACGTATGCATACCGTAACCAACTTTCTTATTATCAACATGGCAGCCGCTGACCTGTTTATAACGGTGTTCAACATGCCTACATACTTGGAAATCCTCATAACGCAGAAATACGACTGGATGGGCGGTCCCYTGGGKGTTCTTTTGTGCAAATTGGTATTATTTATTCAGGGCGTGTCAGTAACGTGTTCAGTGTTGACGCTGACTGTTTTGAGCGTGCATCGATTTGTATCTGTGTTTTTCCCGTGGAAGAAGCTTATGAACACGAAAAACGTAAAGTTTGCTATAGCTGGGATATGGATTGCATCATTTCTATTTATATCACCACTGCTTTATGCTTTAAATGTCATGGARCATAATAGGATGCTAGTATGTGATGAACGATGGTCGCCRTTATTTGATGAAAAGCAAGCACCAAAGAATTATACTATCGTGTTGTTTGTACTTCTTTACATGGCTCCTCTATTGATTATGGCTGTTTTATACTCCTGTCTTATCTACAAACTATGGTTCCGATGCCCTTCCGAACTTCCAGCGAGTTCTTACCGAAGACAATCCGAAGAGGCCTTAAGCGTAAGCCGAGTGTCTTCCGACGATAAAAGCAAACATGCAAAGTCTAAAAAGTTGGTATTGAAAATGTTGGTGACAGTTGTTGTGGTGTTTGCTTTATGTTGGTTACCGATGCACGTACGAAGTTTCTTTGTGTTTTTTAGTAAAGACGGTCTTCCATGCCTACCATCTTTTCTCGAGTTTATAGGATATTTCTTGGGTCATGCAAACAGTGCGTTGAACCCGTGTATTTATGTCAGCTTTAGCGAGAGCTATCGACATACTTTCAAAACAGTATTGTTCAAACTATGCGGAAAAAAGAAAGTCAAGACTCCAGTCAAAAGACCAAAGAGAGACGTCGAAGTTGAGCTTCAGAAAAAGCGACTAAACTATAAATACCACTTATAATAAACAAAAACGTTACTTTCAATGCTAGTTCTTAACCTATTCTTATATTATCTCTCAAAAAGACTAAATTACAACACCAATTTTTAAACAACCTTTCTTATCTACAAAACAACGACCCAATTATAGAACAAGATGATTTCTCAAATTACAAACGCAAAAAGAAGCCGTTTCGACGTTTTTCATATCGTCGGTGAAATGCACAAAGATGAAACTGTTGGCAAATGAGATCTTACAGTATTAAGTAATGCTAATTTTAATATTGAATATGAGACTCATAAAGTGTTTCAAATTTCCTAAATAAAAAGCAAATATCGATTCCAAAACAAGAGTTATTATTGAACCTCAGTATATCGGYCAGTGTGYGGTCGTTAWACCATCATCGRTTCATACATTAATTGCCTTGGGGTATATATATGCGTGRATGCTATCCAGAATTCGCAAAACTAGTTCATATTTGTTCATCATAGGTCTCCTAATCTGAGTAGGTCGGGTAAATGTTCTGGTAGTCCTTGAAGATTATTAAAGAAACCCTCGTCAATACGGACATCGTAGAGAAAATAACCAATGCCCGTATTAAGAAGGGTCCCTAACTAAAAGCAGATGGCTGATACGAAAAAACTTTTTTCCGAAAAAGCTTTTGTCTTGCAACCATTATATAGTATAAAAAATGGCTCGATCAAATACTAATTGCTAATACAAAATTCTTAAATTCTTATTTAAACAATATACAGAAGTACTAAAGTAAAAAAACGTCACAGGTAGTAAACATCTTTGTCAAATCCCTGATTTTGTTTTTTTTTATTATGTTTTGTTTAATACCTCAATTCAGTCTTAAAAGTATAATGAGATATCTTGAAATCAGGTTGACATGCTTGTGAATGTGTCCAGGTTATTTAMTTAAGCTGTACCATGAGCAAGGCCTCATTTTATATATTGCACTTAATTAAAATAAGCTCAGAGAAGGTAATAACAGACCATATTACTAGTCTACAAGACCATATCATATGCCTCAGAGCGGGAGAGCGCATTAGACTCTTAAAAACAACGTTCATCAGGCGGCGAGTTGTTAGGAAAGTATAGCGGCTCTTGAAAGACAACAAATTGAATACATAAGATACATTGATCGACTGGCGGGAAGCATCTCTAAAACATGGTTTTCGGCCATCAGATTTGTTGTAAGATAATATCCGAGTACATCATGAAAAACAAGTTGATTGAAATATGTTTATATCATGCCATGACGTACAGTGAGAACCTTAATCACGCGAACTAAATCGATTAATACACCATAGTATACAACTAGTACAAAAACAAAAAACAAAAAAACAAAACACACACACACACACACACACAAAACATGGCGCTTCAACATTATGCGACAAGTGCGCAAAGTACTAGTCTTGGAAGTGTTTTTGTAAGATTTTCTTCCAGGTTATTATATCCAATACGAGACCTAACAAATGACTACTTTTCAAACCTATATCCCAAATACCAATTCGGCCTCAGTACGTACATGTAGATTGTCAGTGACAGCATTTTTGAAACAGTTGTATTTATTACTATAGACTGTAAGTATTGTCATTAGTCTATTCCCAATAAAGTCGCCAAAAAAAAAATAAATAAATAAGTACAGTTCTTATAAATGAACTGGAAATACGGTGACAATTAATGAGTCAAACAACTTTACCGAGTCGACTATTTGAGTAAATAACAACGAAAAACAAACTAAAGAAAAACAAAAAGATAGCGTGGGTGTTAAAACTCTGCGGCTTACCCCGAGAAATATCGCTTTTTAATCAATGATTACGAATCTATCTTAAATTTTTTTTACGGAGCCAGCATGACTAAGAAACTGGAATATTCGACGATATATTTCCGCTAAACGTTTAGTACGCAGCGCTATTACAGAGACTTAATACATTGATATTAAAAAGTATTTGAACTCTTTGTAATGAGCTTTGCTCAAGGAAGTTCTCATTAWGGCGGCTAATAACTACATAAATGACATTTCTTAAGGTAAATCGTATAAATACGTGGCACTAAAACCAGATAATGTCAGTAAATGCTATTTCGAAGGCAATTTTGTAGTAATGTTGCAACAGGTAATGTTTATAAAGCGATTTCTTAAAGCAAAACCTTTAAATGGAGCATTGCGCGTCACATTAATGAGATCCATGACGATATTCAATCAAATTGTTGTTTTTCTATACTTTATCAAGATTATAAAGGTGACAAAAAAGTCTGCTGATAATATTTAATCAGTACAGCCATATTTGACTGTTATTGATAATATTTTGTATATTTGAAAACAATGCCGAGATAGCGCGCAAAAGAGGAACGATCTGACTAGACCCATTCCTACTCGATTTCATTTCCATTATTAGTCATTTTATCCTCGACTTTTATTATAGCAAAAAATGTTTTAAAAAATCCTGATTACGATTTATTTTCTCTTTTTTTCGTTATTTTCGGCTCTTTTCTATGTTTTTTCTTTTCTGTCAGTTTTTCTAGAAAGTGTTTTGTAAGGGTGGGGGAGAGGGGTAAGAAATTGGTGGGTGATAGAGCTGCCACACAAACCCATATAATGTTTTACTTAAAGTTCCAGCAGCTTAAACAAAATCCTGCATTTTTTTTCTTATCATCTTATATTTTTCTCCTCTTATGGATTTTTCCCATCCCCACTCCTCTAAGTAAGATTCATACCTGGAGAGAGGAAGACAAAAATTATAAAATGATCCATCCATAAAAACATCTTGTAACTTCTTCCATTGAAGCCAACCTTCTCTCTTAAGAATCTCAATATTAGCGCAGCCAATGAAATGGGGATCCTGTTTTAACAGATTAAAAAAACTTTAGATGTCGCTTACGGACGGGTCAAGCAACACTACATTCCATCACTACTGGTGGACAATGGAATGTAATCAAAACATGAACTAAACATTTTCTGGAACAAAGCATGGTGGGACATGTAGAACAATGGATRATGGGAAATGTCGTCCTTGCATATTTTTCYCATGTAAACTTACAGCAATTAAAAAATAATAATCTTGATTTTCTGTTTGACAAACTCCAAGAAGGGTTTTAGATGARGCATCATTATCACCTCCTTGAATTGAAATAGAAAATAAAATGATCAAAATAAATGTAATGAAAAAGTGGATGGATGGATAAATGGATGGATGGATAACAGATATAAAAGTCTAAAAATCTGTGTACCTATCATCACTGGAGATCCATATTCTACAAAATGCTGCAAAATTTCTRGTGCTTTTCCTGGTACCTCTGGACCAGAGGACACGTGGATAATCTTACAGCTTACCTTCATTTGAAAACAAGAAAGTGTAAGCCATGTTTTGTTCATCATTCAAGGTCTCATTATGATGATTGAGTGTAAAACAAAGGAAAATCTGCACATATAATTGCCTAGTCTTCTTGAAGCCATGTTGGCAAGTTTCTGTCACTCATACTGCAATACTCTTCAGTCTTAGTATAAATATACTAATAGTCTATCACTCATACTGCGCTGTGATTGGCTACTCTACTAATGGTCTAATTTGTGATAGACCACTCACGGGAAAATAAAAATAAATAAATTATAAATCATTTTAAGGATATTTCAATTTGTTTTCATTATTTGACCGATTAGTATGTTTATACTAAAACAATTAGACCTCTCGGCCTCGTGGACTACGAGCTAATAGCCCATTCGGCCTTGCGGACTCGGCCTCATGGGCTATCAGCTCGTAGTCCACTCGACCTCGAGGTCTAATTGTTAATTAGTCAACAGTCTTAGTCATGAGTAACTGAAACTAAACACACCTGTGAGGAGACTAATGTTTGTTCTAATACATCAAAGTTTACATACATTATACAGATGATCCAACACCAAGAATACTTCATAGGACCCTATCCACTCCTTAGAGCCAATGAAAGTACTTGGTTTGTCCTGAATCTCAACAAGAACAGTCTGTATCTCMTTTATATTGGGGACAGAGTTCTTTTGATTGGCTGAATTGTTGCATACCCATGAGCATAGTGTTTGAAGAGTACGGTATCCACAGCCCCACCCCTGCAAATTGAATGTATATGACTCCAGATACATGAACTTTGAGGATGCAACAAAATAAAATGAATGGAAAAATAGAAATGGTTGCCTGGCTGAATGGTTGGGTTTAGGAAATGGAAGTGAATGGATGGTTGATTCGAGTAGGGTTAGAGTCTTCACTCAAACTTATGTTGTTCATCAAAGTAGGACAGCTAGAATACTAGAAAATCCATAATGTTTTAAGACGTAAAAGTCAAAATGAAACTTGGAAAGTGCGCACATGTGCATGATCAACTGCAAGCTGTGGTACCTTGTCATCAAATCCATCAACTTTATAATGAAAATARTCATATTTTCCAGTCACAATGCCGCATTCTTTACAGCCTATTGGGACATCAACTGTTTCGTGAATATTCTGTAGTAGATCGGCTCTGTTCATTGAGGAATTCGCCAATCGAAAAATTTTGAAACTCGCTCCAAGAATCTTTATGAGCCCGCTTTGGTGATTAACAGCGGAAATTGCGCAAGGCCATGTGCAAATTTTCTGAGGGGGGAGGGGATAGTTTTTGATACTTGATTTTTCTCTGCGTTATCCAAAATTTAGGATAAATTTGGACATGAAAACTATTTTTTTCGAATAATTGGGAGAATATCTTATGTTTGCTTATGGAAAATCTCTTTAAAGTAAAACAAGCGAAAGTGAAAGTACTTTGTTTTTTTGTGACCACCCCTCCCCACTGCGGCGATAACAACTTTATCAAAGATCCTCAGAATTCAGTGTTGTGTGGAAAATCGGACATGCACTGAAAATAAAYCCGGAATTTTCCTTCAGAATTACTACAACTTGCCTTTATACGGGCTGTGATGGTCTATGATACTTCTTCTTCACTCGTTCCTGTGTATGACAACAACGTTAGTGAAGATACCAAAGTACTCTGCATTATCAAAGATGAGACTTCGGTCGATTGGAAATGGGAGACACAGACCATTACAGTAAACCTTCCTGCTTCTTCTCCCGTCGCTGAACTAGTCTCTTATGTGTCTAAAGAAGCGAACTATAACGAAGAGTCTTTCCTTTTAGTATGGGTTAACTCGCATCAGCACGAGAAAGATGCGAAGGAAGTTATTCTCAATGATATTCGAGAAACAAGTTTAGCAGAGTTGGGTCTATCAWCTCAAGGTCGAAATAGGTTCATGATTAAGCAGAAGGATGGAGTTCAGCCAATAAAATTAAGGGTATGTATAKTTTTTAGAAAATATATCGTTGTATTTGGTAACTAGATGTAGCGATAAAACGCTTTCTTCACTACAGCTTTGTCTTTATTGTTTTTAAGTATTTCTAACACAATTAAGCTCTATCATGTTATAAATTATGACACTATTCGTCTTTATYTTATCGTTCTCATTTGTAAATTTGTGTGATGTGTCTCTAATACMATTGTTTCAAGACATTAAAATTTGTCTTTTACATTGTACATCATTTTGTTGATACAATTATAGGATAATAGCAACTCAAACTTGGTATAATTTAATTACATATTAATTTGATTTTATTAAGACGTTAATTGGCCAAACCAAGGAGCTAAGCTTTATGAACCTAATAGTACGGCATGTTGTATTGAGGTCACCAGTACATCTAGTCAATCGAGACAAGTCGCATCATGTTCTGTACATCAACCTTAAACTGACATGAAATATGTTGTACATGTATATTCTGTGGTATAGGATTAAAGAGTTGTAGAATATTTTCTGTTACCATGGATCCACCATCTTGTATTTTCACGATAAATCCAAAGATTCACTCTAGTTGAACTATAATATACAGTATTTGAGTTCATATCCAATCTTTACTTAATGATTTTACCCTTGGACATCCTTTAAGTAAGAGTTACTCTTTTATAAACAGCGCTAAGTCAAGAAATGCCAGCACTGTTGAAACTGTTGCACCTTGTGAACTTTAAAACAGACTTTTGGAAAACTAATAGGAAATTCTTGATTGTTGTGTTGCCAAGATATTGAGCTACATTTTTCTCATATTCAGGCAGCATTGAACTTGATCCAGATATTTTCTTTCCATCTTGACTGCCATTTAGTCAATAGTTCATGTATTTTATCAAAGTATTTTGTCAACAGGAAGGACCTGAACCATTTGATAGTTCTGTGGGGAACCTGTTTCAAGAAAGCAATGCAGCMAGTGCAAGCTCWTATTCAGGYTCATACTATTCCGGTGATCTCTCCTATTATGGAAAGTCTGATACAGGTATAAGCACCATATATGGTTATATATGAACCTGAATGGGTTTAAGTGTTCTTTAATCATATTTGTAGTGTTTGATGTTATATTAATTTTTTAGTCTTCACTGTTTTATATTATGAAAGAGTCCTGGCGGTTTCCTAGCATTCTAGCCACATCTTTAATGTAAATATTTAAATGTATCACTTCAAATGGTGTTTAGGTTTTGTGGGATTAGTAAACCAAGCAATGACATGCTACCTAAACAGTCTGATGCAGTCTTTATACATGACACCAGAGTTTCGTAATGCCATCTACAAATGGGAAGCAACAGGAAGTGAGGAGAAGGACATCAAGTGTATTCCATCACAGCTACAGAAACTCTTCTTGCARCTTCAGGTAAAGATTAACATTRCSTTGTTAGYTTGYTTCTSTCACTTGGAAAATACTAATRCATCAATGGCAGAATGTGTCAGTATAAAAATTACTGTRTATTTTCAATTTATTTATGCATTACTGTACATGAGCTGAATGAGAAGATTCTTATGTAAACATTGAGTTAATAATAAACATTGAGTTATGTAGACTGATTCCATAAGTTGTTTCCAGCCAGAGTTTTGTCACTCAAGGGTTTGTCCCTAWTTTTGCGACAAACTGAAAAACTGAGRAGCGAAAACTATGACTTATGGAATCAGTCTATAAGCTATAAAGTTTTCTGATAGCTTGTTAAAAGAAAGACAAGCCTATGTTTCAGGTTACAGCTTTATACCATTACCATAACTGTGAAATGGAAAGTGATAATATGGCACAAGTCGTGAAAAAATTATCTTTTTTTCTTTTAATGGGCTATCATTCAACTTAATAACAAATTATTTAMAWGGAACTTGATTTATTTTATCCRRTGATTATGTARYGATTTATTCYATCATTCATGCATTCATATTTYTCTTTTATTCATTCATKTKTTCATTCATCCACTTATTTATATCTCCGTTATTCAATATTTATTAGGGAGTAAATACATTCACCTTGACATTCATTCAATTATTCATGTTATTTTTCCTATATTATCCATATTGGGATTCCAGACAAGTACCAAGAAAGCTGTAGAGACGACTGACCTGACTAAGAGCTTTGGCTGGGATAGCAGTGAGGCATGGCACCAGCATGATGTCCAGGAATTATGTAGAGTGATGTTTGATGCTTTGGAAAGCAAGTTCAAAAACACTGATCAGGTACATTGGTAGACTTTATCATTTGTACTTYTTTGACTCTATGTCTTTCTGGACTCCTTCACCTCTATGTCTCTTTTTACTACTCTTGGGATTCCTGTCTTCATATGGCTGAGGGAGACTGTGACTGTTGTGGTCTTAGTCACGTAATTGGTAAAGAATTCTATAGTAATCAGCAAATGACAAAAAATGAAGTGGTGTCTCTCGAGGAAGCTGAGGTCTTCCATRATTTGTAAATTGATMTSCCTGTTCWTCTACAGTTGATTGTTGGTCTTTKACCATGAGATTCTTTGTTGTTTCAGGAGGATTTCATCAACAAACTTTACCAAGGAAAAATGAAGGACTATGTAAAGTGTCTTGAGGTAATTAGACTGGATTACATACATTAATAAGGAACTTCGGTTTTGACAGCGAGTACAAGATTGAGTACGAGTACGAGTTTTGAAACCAGCTTTTATKGTGCTGTCCATACTGGATTTCAATCCACTTCATGTTTTTATTTCTTTGATGTTTCAATTTATTCACAGAATGCAATTCATGATTAATAGCACACTTTTAGCCAATTTTAAAACTCGTACTTGTACTCAATCTCATACTYGTTGTCAAATCTGAAGTTCCCTAATAGCCCTCGATAAGAACCTGAATTATCACTCAATTCAGGTTCTCACACAGAGCGTATAATATATGTGTAAAATTGTTTTCAAACTAAATTAGGCAAATAAGTATTATAAAGTATTATAAATAAAATTCTTTGTCTTTTATTGTTTATTTAGAGCAAGATTTTTTTCCATTTCTTGGATATCTTTAATGTATTCTAATTCTATAAAACTGTTCTTTTGATCAGAGTTAAAATTATAATGCTAGGACAGGGACAATTAGTAAGAAGAATGGTGATACTCAATGTCACATAAGCCTTATTCATTTGACAACCAGAAGACAATTGGATTTTAGAACAAAGCGACTTGCAAAAGCCTTTCTGATTTTTGACACACTAACAAAAAAATGAATTTGTTGATAAACATTGATTATCTCTATAGGGCTGCAAAAAAATCCTAGATAGATCCCTGTATTCAATGACATTTAACCTATGTAACTACAGCAATTTAATTGTGAATGTGAAAGGCTGAATATGTAATATTATATTACTTGTATTCAGTGTGGTAATGAGAGTGCACGGACGGACACCTATTTGGACATTCCTCTTGCTATCAGACCTTTTGGTGAAAACAAAGCATTTGGAAGTGTTGTAAGTACTGTTATTTTCATGGTATGATATCTTAGGGGTGTACCTAGCAATGGTACAGGGATGATATCTTAGGGGTGTACCTACTGATAGTACAGGGACGATATCTTAGGGGTGTACCTACCGATGGTACATGGATGATATCTTAGGAGTGTACCTAGCGATGGTACAGGGATGATATC